TTAGGAAATTGAGGCATGGAGATATTAAATAATTTGCTGGGTCTGGCAGTAATTACGTACCAGAGCTGATGTGGGAAGTTTGGCAGCCTGGCCAGGAGCCCACGGTCTGAACCACTGTGCTCTACTGCCTCCTACTGGCTGTACAATCATCATACATTTCTGAATCACAAAAATGATAGATCAGCCTCATCCAACAGAGCTGCTAGGCAAATCAATACATAATTTAAAATGTTCTAGTAATTACATTAAAAAGTAAAAGAAACAGGTAAAATGAATTGTATTTACCATGTTATCCAAAATATTGTCATTTCAACATGTAATCAATATAAAAGCTGACATATTTTACATTTTTTTCATACCAAATGTTCAAAATCAGTGTGTATTTCACACATATAGCATAACCTAATTGGGAAAAGTCACATTTCAAGCACTCAGTAGGTACACTGAGCTACCAAACTTGGTAACACACGTAGCAGAGTTAGATACTCAGGACCTTAGAAGTAGGTGCTGCACCAACCTGCACTTGATAGTCAGCACTGTACACAGTGATAGAGGTGACCCTCTTCTTCCATATAAAGCTCCATTTTCAGTCTGAGCATCTCAAGAAGCATCAGAGTATGAAAAGTGAAGATTTCTATAGTGTAAGACCTTCTCTGGCACTTGGGCCAAAATCTTTTCTTGAGAAATGGTTAATTCCCGAAGACTTTCAGTTCTGAAAATAATTATCTCTGCCAGACCACACCCATTCCTTCTTTAGTCCCTCCTGGAGGAGCCTCCTAATTCATGTCCAGGTGCAGGATTGTAGCAAGCTTCATCTTGCTTTGAGCAGGAACATACTCTGCCCCACCCCAGACATTTCTTAGCCAAAAATGTAGCCAGCATATATTCTCATGACACAAGCCTGCTACTTTATTTGCAGGAATGTTGCTAACCTATTAGAGGCAGCTATGGTTCATTTGCTATGCAAGAATATAGTCTTTAGATCTTCATATAGTAATAGCTATGTCATTAGCTCCTTTACTTATTTCTGCATAATTTCTTTACATGGTTTCTTGGCCAAAGAACAAAAGTGTGTGAGGTCAGGCATCACACTGTTAGTGGATAATTAGTCCCACTCAGATTCACATTGACTCTAGATCCTTACCTTAAAGATACTATGGCTAGTCATATGTGTATAACTCTCCTTATTAAATATCTAAAAGCAATAAGACTTAGGATAAACTAAGCATGATTTATTTCCTCCCTGAATAGCATGGATTTTACCTCATTTCTTGCAGAGGGATGCAGATATGTAACGTTAAATTTATGTGGGATTTTTTTCCATGAAAGAGGGGAGCATAATTATGATGTTTCATTAAGAAATGTATCATCCCCTAGGCATACTGCAAGGATTATTAGTCATTCTTCTGTGAATGAGGAAAAGTACTGTGTGATTGCAAAATTATATTAATTTCATCAATAGAGTCAAAATAACATTTCATGGACTATTCAGGTTGAAAGGACCCTGCAGAACATCTAATTTCCCAAACTTCCTTGAAGACAAGAATCATTTGGAATATTTAATAATAAAAGATTGGTGGCCTTATCCAATACCCACTGAATCAAAATATTGGGGAAAGGGTATAGGAAGCTGTGTTAGTAATAAACATGAACACTTCAGCTTATTGTTATCATCAGAAAAGTTAAGGGAACACTGAACTTTGTTTTACAGATGAAGGGCCTGAGATTCAGAGAGATTAATGGGCTGGATCACATTCACATAGCCACGTACATCAGATGGGAAGTGAATCCACCTCTCCTGACTCTAGTCTAGGAACTTCCCCCAAACCAGACTACTGCTCTACGGTTCACCAAAACAGAACTGAAAGCTATCATTGTCTACTGTCTGTAAAGAAAGAAGGAAATAGTAATCTTTTCACGGGATAGGTTTTATGTAACTTTTAATACAGTCTCCTAGACTGCCCATGATTCAAGAAGGTCCAAGAAAAAGTGATTACTTGCAACACACACACATACACACACACACACACACACACACACACACACACACACACACACCATTTCTGCTTTATCATGGACTCAGAAGAGGCCATTTTTAGTGATTAAACTAGTTTTTTTTCTTAATCCTCTAAATATTCCATGTGCATTAATTATCACTCTTTTGGATTCTCTTTTAAAGTCAGCCATCAAGTCTAGATCCATTACTTTGAGTAACTAAGTTCTTCCTTTATCTTTTGTTCTACTTTGAAGGAATGCAGGACTATCCTTCAACAAGTAACTCATTTTTTTATTTCAACAAGTAACTCATTTTTTTATTTCAACAAGTAACTCATTTTTTTATTTCAACAAGTAACTCATTTTTTAAATTGCAGCAAGGCAAAAATGGTGTCAATATTTATCCTCTGCTGCTGAAAATGTAGATGGAAAATCCAATAAGAAATGACTTTCCAATGTCAAACTGTTGATTTTACCACCTTATAATTTTCTTTATTTCTACAGATTGTCCAAAGCCTCCAAACATTCCCATGATCATGTTGGGGGTTTCCCTGGCAATTCTTCTCATTGGGGTTGTCCTACTGTGTATCTGGAAGCTGCTGGTGTCATTTCATGATCGTAAAGAAGTTGCTAAATTTGAAGCAGAACGATCAAAAGCCAAGTGGCAAACGGTATGTGGAAACTTAGAGCTACTCCTTGTCTAGGGGAGAAAGAGGCTGGTGGAGGAGATTGAGAGGCTCAGCTTTCTTCTGCTCTGAGAGTTCAAATGTCACATTTTTTCTCTACCACTCTCACCATGACCCCAACAGCTTTGATTTCTGTTCTGCTTCAGGGTCAAAGGAACCTCTACTCATTCTTTAGACCCAGATGACCCTCATAGCATATATCTGTCTCAGTGCAGTGGGAATTTCCACCACAATGAAGAGTCTCTTGAGGCCCCTGAGACAGCTGCTCAGGGACGTCAGGAAAGTATATTTTACTCAGTCCTTCCTCACCACTAAGAGTATCCCTCAGGCCCCATTTGATAAAGCACAGGTGCTGTATCTAAACATTTCCATAAGTTGGTTTTGTTATAATGAATGGAATAATGTTCATAAGTAGTATGATAGTTTATGCCAATTTCTATGGAAGTACTGGTTACTGATACAGTAGGCTACAAAGCAAAATTGAGATGATTTTTTAAATGCCATGCAGTTAGTTTTTCTGAATAACGTAAATTTTAAACAGCGACCTGAAAAAAACCAAGTTTCAACCTTTAAGTGTGTAAACTCAATAGAAATAATTTAAGTGTCTTCTCTTCACAGGAGGCAAACAGAAAACAGGACTATAGTTTTCTGTGTTTCTTTTCCACAGGAGAGATAATTACATTTCTAGAGACCCATAGAAACAATTTCATGGTTTTAATTTCATCTCTCTATCTCTAATGATGTGTCCAGGTATCTAACATCAATTATCTTACATTGCTGATTGCAACAATGATATCACTGGAGGAAATACAGGCAGACACAATGCTTCTTTGGATTCATCCACTCAAATAAATTGATGTTAACAAATTTTATAGCAATGCCTTCAATTCGAAAAGCAAATGGAATTTTCCATTTTTGATACATTTATCTTGATAATGGATGTTTATATTTTATGCAGTTATTCTAAATTAATCATAATATATAGTACAGTACAATGAACAATGAAAAATTTTATCTACTTTATCTTTCCATTAAAAATGCCTTTAGATACAACAGCCAAATGCAATGTATGGATCTTGTTTGGATCATGATTTTAACAGTCCACCTTTAAAACACCTGGAAAAAAGGATGGGCATGGTGGCTCACACCTGTAATCTTAGAACTTTGGGAAGCCAAGACAGGAGGATTAGATCGCTTGAGCTCAGGAGTTTGAGTGAGGCAGCATGGCGAAACCCTGTCTCTACAAAAAAGAAATATAAAAACTAGCCGGGCATGGTGGTGTACACCTGTAGTCCCAGCTACTTGGGAGGCTAAGGCAGGAGGATCACTTGAACCAGGAGGTCAAGGCTGCAGTGAGCCATGATCGTGCCACTGCATTCCAGGCTGGGTGACAGAGTGAGACCCAGTCTCCAAAATAAATAATAAATAAATGTATAAAACTACTGAAAAAAGATTAATACACACTGGGCATTAGAGTGATAGCAGGTAAGTATGGTTAATTTGATTAGGTAAGATAATGGCAATGGTGACATTGCTAGAAAATATCCATGTTTTTTAGAGATGCATACAGAAGGAGTGGAAGGAAATGAAAGTTTGAGTTTGCTTTGAAATAATTCAGCCGAGAGAGAGGGATGGAGAGATAGTTGAAGCAGGTGTGGCGGAATTGTGATAACTGTTGAATTTGAGTGATGGGTCTTTGAAGGTTTGTTGTATAGCCTTTCCTCTTTTTGTGAATGTATGGATTTTCCATAATTAAGCAAGATTCCTCAGGAGAAGATATAATTTACTCATCCCTAACAATGTAAAAGGTAAATAGACAAGTTAGCTTGGCAACTTAGAACACAGTACTAATGAGCCTAAAGTTGTAGGACAGTTCACTTCACCTGACCCCTGGCCACAGATGTTATTTTTGACTTTCATCAGCTCTCCAACAAATGCCTGGCAATGGTGAGAAGGGCAACCAGGTAAAACAATGTGGTTAAGTTGCCACAAAGGTCAATAGCAGCAAACCCCATGACATAATCCTGGTATTCCCATTTTGAAAGAAGGTAAACTGAGGCTCAGAGAAGTTAAGGGACTTCCCCAACTTTTGGTACATGGTGAAGCTGGAGCCTAATTATTAATTGTTCTTCTAAGCATAGCCTTTGGTTGATCCTCCTGGAAATAATAAGCAGGTGCTCCACAAACACGCACTTGGGCAATTATGTGATGTGTATCTACTAACCAGCACATTTCAGTGTTCTCATACAGAGGCATAAGTACTGACAAGTGATTAATATCTTTAAAATAACATTATAATTAACAGTTAATTTCTCCAAAAACATGAATTGTTCTCCCTCAGGATGTAGAACATGACTGAAATTCAAATGCCAAATTTTTGTTGTTTCTTCTTCTAACATGTGACCCAAACATGCATTAAACAGAAAACCAGCATAAATGGAAAATATTATTCCCTTATTAAATTGAGTTTCTTTGAATAGCAAATGTTTGATGTTCCTGACTAGATAATGACTGGTTAGTAATTATTCACATGGATACAAAAAAGGTTTAAACTCAAATAATTCAGTTTAAATTTTACCAATACCTACTGGAAAAAAAAATGTCGCTCACTGCACACATTTTGGGGTCTTCAATTTCATTGAGTTTTTCTCTAAAACCTATTTCTTTTTCAAGAAGTGGATTTTGAAACCCAGGGCCTTCCAGGGACAATAGGAACAATCTGGCCTCCTGACCATAGGACTGCATTGGACTCGTAAAGTGACAGGGTTCAAGACAGAAAGATCTTTACTCCTACCTCCTGAAACATTTCAGAGCAGCTGTAAAGAAAGGTTACCTTTTTATTATTTTATGCTTTAAAAATAATGCCACCTCCACATATTCTTTATAAAAACACAAATGAAACGTATTTAAATTCATCTTTGATTAGACATATTTTTCTAGGATGACAAGTCATTAACTTGAGGCAAAAAAATGTTCAGCCTGACATGTCTTGAAGTCATGGATTGATTTTGTACTGTGCTAAGCAAATCAGGTCTGCATTTGGCAGTTAGGCAATCATTAAGGAAGCTGTGGGTCATGACAGAGTTTTCTTATTACCACTTTTTCAGTCTTGAAAAATGTGCCATTGCATTTGCAGAATCCACAACCTAAATTAGCACTCCCAGACTCCTGGGGAAATCAGCCTGGTCACCCCAGATGGTTAGGGGAAAACTGACCTTTTCTGAGCAGTGGAGTGCAGACTCACCTAAAATAGAGCAGGACTCAAGCCTGCATTTCTGCTGGAAATCCTGTGTAGAGAGGTTCCAATCGGCAGAGCACTAGAGGAGGCAGTATGGACATTTCCACACCTCCTCCTGAAACAAAACTTGATGCATTCTCCTGACCTCTGATCTTCAGCGAAGGCGAGGAAATGCCCTACCACACACAATGGCAATATGTACTTTCTGTTTGTCCACTTTTACGCTTCCGCCTTACCCTCTTATTCTGGTGAGGTCTGCTCTACCCATCCCTCCCTATAAACAATGTCTTGGCCCTAAACCAGTTTTGCAAGGGACTCACAAAATATTGCAGACCTGAATGAATGAAGTTGCTTTAAAATACAGAATGAAAACTCCACCATCAGAATTAGACATTCAGCTAAGTATCTACTAAATAACTTGTTATCCTGTCAACGTCACCTCCTCTATAATGCATATCAGTTATATTAAGTGTGGGATATGGGTGTATTTTCTATGTTTGACATGATGTAGGGTGCACCTACAAACAAGTACCTGGTCCTACAGAGCTCTAAACTGACCCTGTTCACAGCCTGTGTCCTCTTTCAGAGTATCATTTCTGTTCACAAACGCTCCCACTTCCTCCAGGACAGGCTCACGCTGTCATTGGTGGCTTGAACCTCTTACTTTTTTCCATCTTGTTTCTTCAATTGAGTCCCTCATTCTCCTGTAACCAACTAGATTCTAGTCTCTCAAATTTAGTAGAATTCCACGCATGATTTTTGTTTGCAAATGAGACTCCATCTACATCTAAAATCACATCAGTCTGCCCTTTGCATTCAAAATCTCAAATTCTTAGGGCAGCAGAACTAGATAAGATCTGGAGGTCCCTCAGAATTATCTAGGCTGCTCTCAGGAATAGAAGCAATATGCCAACCTAGCTTTCACCCACATCCACCACCAGCCAAAGAAGCTCTTTTCTGTTTGGCTTTATTACAGAGATAGCATATCTCTTCAAAAGCACAAACAGAGGTAACATGTCACTCAGTCAGAAGTCAGGCCACTGACTCTGGAAAACATAGAAATTGGTGCAGGTGTGATTCCCACTCACAATGAGGGCGCTGAGGCCAATGAGTGGGAAAGGCCAGGGAGTATTTCCAGTTTTATTCAATTCTTCTGAAAGCTAAAAGAAATGTACCAAGAAAGCAAAGACAATCATGTAATCATGCTTTTTTTTTTCAAATCTACACCTAGAAATTGCTACCATAGCTATAATCCATGGAATAAGGTTGTCAAAGTATGAGATTTTAACTTAGAGGGTGAGAGGTGGTACCTGGATTCAATACATACTCAGTAAGGGGCTTAGAAATGTTAACTGTACCAAAGCCCTAGGGGAAAATATCTTTATAATCCTCTCTAAAACTTAAAATAAAAGGAAATTCCAGATGTGAAGAAAAGCTACAAGTAGGAACTAATGAATAGAGGCAGCATTTATGGAGCATTTGCTATGTGCTACACATAGTGCTAAAATACTTTACCTGGATAAGGTAGGCACAGATGTGGACACCAAGGCTCAGAGTAGCTTCAGTATGGTCATGTGGTGCAGCTGGGTTTGGACCCAGGCTGTCTGATGCCATAGTCTGTGTGGTCAACCTTAGAAAGTGGGAGAGAAGAAACTGTACCTTACCCAGACAGCTTCCTCCTGCCTGGAACAACCAGAGAGGCTTGGTCCTTCTGAACCTTCAGATCCTCTTGGCTACAGCACCACTGCTGTTGGCATGTGGGGACACATCTACAGCCCAAAAAGCACAGCTGAGCTACCCAGGAGTCCCAAACACAACCTCCCCACTCCCCCAAGGACAAAGCCATTTTGCCTGGCCTGGCTTTGGACTGCTACTCTTTCATGACCCCAGGGTTCCCCACATCAGTCTCTTGTGGTGTTCTTACACACTGTTTTGCATAGCAAGCAAAAGACAGCTGGTTCTTTGGCTACTCAGGGCGAGTGTTAGCTGTCCAGAGGATGGTTCCTCACTCCTCCTAAGTAACTACTTTCTCCCCTTTCTGAATTTTAATCTCATCTTAGCATGATTATTTGTGTCCTTTGTTTGATGCCTCTCATCAGTAACACGTTTGTTAAAGGCAGATACTGTGTCATTCATTTTTGTATGTTTCTAACAGTTTCACTTTTACCGTATTTTACTTTTTTGGCTTTGATTTCACTTGTGGTTCACCTATCACTGTTCATGCTACTCATTCCATACATACTGAGTACCTGCTCTGGGGCAGGGACTCAGTGCTGGGAAAACAGCAGTGAGCACAACAACCAAAGCCTTGTTTTCTATCCATAAATTCGTGCATTATTAAAAGGGGTAAGATTTTTTAGAATATACATATGGGACTTGTTCTGTATTCATTTAACAAAATGAAAATATATAAATTGTAAAACACTAAAAGTATGAAATACCAAACGAATCAAAATTGTTCCAGTGGTTTCCAAGATTAGCTTGACTCTCTTTTTCCAATTTGCATTATATCTTAAAACAGTATAATAAGAAAATATACATACTTTCACTTGAATCTTTTTCTTTTTTTTAGGGAACGAATCCACTCTACAGAGGCTCCACCAGTACTTTTAAAAATGTAACCTATAAACACAGGGAAAAACAAAAGGTGGACCTTTCCACAGATGGATAGAACCACTTTATGCATGAAAAAAGTCTGTTCACTGATATGAAATGTTAATGCACTATTTAATTTTTCTTTCTTTGTTGCTTCAAAATGAGGTTGGTTTAAGATAATAATAGGACATTTGGAGATAAGTCATTCTCTACATGAAGGTGAGAGACTGTTGGCAGGTTCAAAATAATCAAGAAGAGAAATATCCTTAGCAAAGAGGTGACTTTGGGGATCATTTGAGGAATACTAACTCTGTTGCATTAATGCCTCAAAAAAATCATCAAAATGATTCATGGGGGCTTGATTTGCATTTGAAAAATGTTTGAAATTAGAATCTCATTTGTTTCAGGAATGCAGCTACCTGAGTTCTTTGTCTCAGCAAAGTCACAAAGCCCATATACTCAGATTATGTATCTATACTTGCCAATTAATTCTAAACCCGTAGGAAGTATACCCTCTCTTAATCTATGAGAAATGAGATTCTGGTTTTACTTTAGTTAAGAGGATGCAATTCTTCTAAAGATATCCCAAATATAAGGTTGAACATTAGGTGATAATAATTTTTGTGCATTTATACACACTTAAATGTTAAGTACAAATTTTGTTTTACAAATGAGGAAGAAATAATTTATAAATTAAGAAGTCACTTATAAAAATAAAAAGATAACAACTCTATCAGTTTATTTTTAAATTACCTGAAAAATGATCTTCTACACTCAGTTTTCTTTTTGACCCTGAGTTTTCAAACTGTTACTTCTCTTATATTTCTCAGTCCATTTCACTCAGGTGCACGGTCTTTTAAACCCTGTAATTGTCAAACAAAAGTTTCTTTTAAAAAAAAATTACCCTAAATGGTTATTTTATTCAAAGAGAGCTCCAATAATATAAACGGAACATGTGTTAAACAGAATAAAATTTTTAATGGCTCAAGTCAAGCATATCAAGAGTATACAAGTCTTAAAGGCTTTTTAATACATATTCTTTTCCCATCTACATAACCCAACTTGCACATTTTAGCTGCATGTGGTGAATATGCATCATATATTTACTTTAAGAGATAAGATTTCACTTGCAAAATACATGTGCAAATTAGGGATCCATCAGTTGATGGAAGAGATGGACTCTAGAATATTATTTCTTATGGTTATTACTTCTTTACAAAGCACTTTCATCTCACTTGATCCTCATAAGGAAACTAAGGCTCGGAGTGAGTAGAACTGGGTTCAGAATCTAGATCTTCTAACTCCAAGTCATTTCCTCTTTCCACTGCAGGAAACTGCCTCTTTCGTCAGTGAAATAATAGAAAGATTGTGTTAAGCAGTAACAGTCATTTCTTTGAAAATGTACTGAGACTAAACAAATAACATTTAAACTACTGGCATACAGATGAGGTATTGTACTTTGTGCAATGTTTATTATCTTTGATTAATTGTAATGTGAAGCCTTTTACTAGGTGAATAGCTCATGATGTAGTAGAGGCTTTGTGGTTGTCCACTGAATTGTCACAGCAAAATCTGTAAGTTTCTTCAGTTCTACAAGATAGATCTGTATACATTTGATCATTTGGAGACTCTTTTTCTGCTGGTTTCTGAATAACTCAAGTAAATCTGACCTTTATGGAGTACCCAGCTAGATGAAAGAATTACTGAACAATCACCTTGAAAATCTGAAGGGCTGATATACCTCCTATGTTTCCTGACTGGAGCACAGAACCCGGGAGAAATCTGCTGCAACATATAGGTTGCAATGCTGATGACACAACAACAGTCCTCTCCTCTATGTGGACTTACTGTTGTATTTTTGTATTATTATTGGAATGGGATTTTAGAAAATAAAAGTTACCTTTGTGTGTGTTTTAGGGTAGAGTAGAATCTGCTCTTTCTCTGAGTACTGTTTTGACCCCAGGCAGGATCTTGGAAAGGCCAAAACATTAACAGTAGTACTTCTGTTCACTGAAGAGTTATGTTACATGAAGATAAAATGGTTTTGATGTGTTTATTATTGTATTTTGTGTTGATGTAAATAAACATGGTAATTTAAACAATGAACCTTAGATGGATGACATTTTCTTTTATTTGCTTGGTACAAAACCCTCTTCTTGAATTTCTGGATTCCTCTGTGACCTGCTCTGACTGCCTTGCTGGTCTTGGTCTGGGGCCAAGGAAAAGAGCAGAAGGAGGCAGACACAGAAGGCAAGAGACAGCAGGGAGTAGGCCTGGACATCACCACCATATTTTGTAAAGTCAAGTACTTTAGAGTTAGTGTTATGAACTGAAATATATTACCTTCCACCCCCAATAGCCCCTGTCCGACCAAAATTCATGTATTGAAGTCTTAACCCCCAGTATCTGAGACTAAAACTGTGTGCTTAGAAATAGCACCTTTAAAGAGATAATTAAAGGCTGGGCACAGTGGCTCACACCTGTAATCCCAGCACTTTGGGAGGCCAAGGTGGGCAGATCATGAGGTCAGGAGTTGAAGCCCAGCCTGGCCAATGTAGTGAAACCCCATCTCTACTAAAAATACAAAAATTAGCCATGTGTGGTGGTGGTCACCTGTAGTCCTAGCTACTCAGGAGGCTGAGGTAGGAGAATTGCTTGAACCTGGGAGATGGAGGTTGCAGTGAGCCGCCTGCCTTGGCCTCCCAAAGTGCTGGGATTACAGGCATGAGCCACAGGGTCCGGCCAATCTCCTCTTCTTATAAGGACACTCCAGCCTGGGTGACAGAGCGAGACTCTGTCTAAAAAAAAAAAAAAAAAAAAAGAGAGATAATTAAATTAAAACAAGGTGACGGAGTTGGGCCCTGGTCCGGTATGACTGGTATCCTTATCAGAAGAGGAGATTAGGACACAGACATAAGGAAAACCATGCGAAGATACAGGAACAGGGTGGCCAACTACAAGCCAAGGAGAGAGGTCTCATAAGAAACCAACCCAGTTCCCACCTTGACCCTGGACTTCTGGCCCCCCGAACTGAGGAAAAAATAAATTCCTGTCATTAAGGCCCCCCAGTCTGTGGTGCTTTGCTACAGCAGCCTGAGCACACTTACATGGTCAGGGAGTCTATTCTGCCCATCCATTTGCTAGGTGTCACGGTGCCATGCTTACCTTCTAAATCAGGAAAATTAACACAGAGAGACTAAATGCTGCCAAAAGAAGTCAGGTTAATCATTCTCTTAGGCCCATTTCTTACAAAAGGACAGGCAAAGTCAAATCCAGAGTTACTTATATCTGAAACACACTCTCTCATAAACTAAAGGCCAAACGTCTGACAATCGAGAAACTGCTCCTATTTTGAACAGCACCAAGAAAGTCACTTTTCTTCTTAATTTTTCCATCGGGGAGGTGGACTGCTTCTGTCTTCTAGCAGCTGTAACAATTCCTAACACATTAGCAACTCAATAAGTTTATTCAACAAATATTTATTGAATGCCTGGTATATGCCACTGTTCTTATGATTATGGATATGGTGAACAATGAACAAAACAAGTAATCTCTATGCTTCCAAGTGAGAAAGAAAATAATAAACAAGTAAATATACATTATCAGGGTCCTGGACCCAGTTTGTGCACATCCCAGATCCACTTGGCTCCACCTGCCTCCCAGGCCTATGCCAGGAGTTACCCCAGTACCAACCTGTGCAGTCCCCTTGGTAGTAAAACCCCAGCTTCTTCCTAACTCCTCCCAGGTTGAGGAGCTGCTGCAATTCCTGTACCCAAGTCCAGAGTAGCTTCCCTAGTTGCTGCCCCAAGGGACCATGTAGCATGACACGGAGGTTGAGGGAGTTAACACTCTGAAGAATGAACGTAGATCCAGAAGAGACAGAGATGGGAAGGAACCAGCACATGAACAGGAGCTGAGCCACCATCAATGTCTTCTGGGGAAGCAGTGGCCAGCTTCCAAATGCTTCATCTTGCATCTGCATTCCCTCATTAGCTGCCTCCCTACCCTTTTTCACTGGGATAGAACCTCCCAATAAAACATTAGCACATAACCTTGCTTAGTTCTTATTATATAAGGAGCCTGGACTAAGACTCTCTAGCAGTCCTAAGAGCTATGCCGAAAATAAAGCAAAACAAAAAGCTACACAATACCCTGTGAGGGCGTGCCTTTAGAAAGAACTGCAATTTCCTTAATTTTTTTTTTTTTTTTTTGAGACGGAGTCTCACTATCACCCAGACTGGAGTGCAGTAGCATGATCTCGACTCACTGCAATTTTCGCCTCCAGGGTTCAACCAATTCTCCTGCCTCAGCCTTCCAAGTAGTTGAGACTACAGGCATGTGCCACTATGCCCAGCTAAATTTGTATTTTTAGTAGAGAGGAGGTTTCCCCATGATGGCTAGGCTGGTCTCAAACTCCTGATCTCAGGCGATCCTCCCGCTTCTGCCTCCCTAAAGTGCTGGGATTACAGGCGTGAGCCACCACATCCTGCCAAGAGTTGTAATTTCTGAGCAGAGCCCTGCATAAGGAGGAAAATTAGCATGAATTCCTTTTGGATATGGTCCGCAGGGGCCTAAATATTGCCCCTCTGTGCTTTGGAAACATCCAAAAGTGAATCGCTCTAACTGGGCAAAGGGTGGAAAACTTGATCTTCTTTCTCATTTGGTTGCACAATCAGCAAGGGAGTAGCATGGCACCCCAGAAGTTTTGTATCCCATGAGCTCTCCTGGAGCGAGGCCCTGGGAGAGGCCTAGCAGTCAAGGCCAAGCAGTCAGTCAGAGGCACAGATTTGACTGCCACTAACCTACCCCCACTCTTTGGTGTCACTGACATGGCAAGACTTTACCAATCCCACAGAGGATCTAGTTCGGCTTGAAATTTTAATCTGACCTTTGCAATTTCCAGGTATGTATTTTATGAAGGAACTTACTGCTCAAATAGTATTTATTTTTTTCTACCTAAAATGTATTTACATTTATGGTCTTGCATACCAATCAGTCCTGTTCCAGGTCAATATCCAAAGCTCTCATATCAAGGAATTCTGTTGTTTGTCAATAACTGACTCAATGAAAAGTCACTATGTTTATTTTTTTCAACGAATTGACTCTGCTATACGTAATATAAATGTGTATATATGTGTGTGCATGAACACATACATATATATTTCTTTCTTCTTTTAATAATTGTATCTTACTAGCATTAAAGAGCTTGCATTGTTAATAAAAACTGGGGAAAAAGAAAAATATTAGATGAATTAAGTTTATCAGAGTTTAATTGAGCAATTCACAAATCAGGCAGTTCCTCAACCAGAGTAGGTTCAGAGTGACTCTGGCAGTGCTGCATAGTTGGAGAGGATTTATGGACAAGAATAAGAAAGTGAGGTACAGAAAACAGAAGCGACATGCAGAAATGGCCAGATTGGTTACAGCTCTGCATTTGCCCTATTTGAACGCAATTTGAACAGTTGGCCGCCTACGAGCGGTTGAAGTATGGCTTCCGTGGTGGACTGAGACTGGGCTACTCATTACAAGAGTAGGTTATAGTCTGTTTCCACACTCATTTAGGTTACATCATTATATATCGAGAAACCTTTAGGCCAAATTCACAAAGAGGCAGATTTAAGCTAAACCTAATTTAACTTAATGTAACAACTACTGTTCTAAGTACATTATACATGTTAACTCATTCAGAGCTCACAAGGACCCTATGGGGGGGCGGTATTACTTTTATCTCCTATTTTACAAGTGAGGACACTGAGGTACAGAGATGTTAAGTAAATTAAGAGATGAGTGGCAGGGAAGCTAAAGAAGCTTCATCTGTATTTACAGCCACGCCCCATTGC